GATGATTGATTATATTTTTCTTTCAGGACAGCCTAATAAACCGGAAGATCCAATAGTAGAACATGTTGATGCTGATTTTGTTCCTGAAAGAAGACGTTTGTATCAAGTGCAAATTGGTATGGGATTCCTAGAACTACCTCAAATAGAACTTAAACATAGTGTTCTGAAGCAGGTAAACATACATTTTAATTAGAAGTGAAAAAATACGGAATGTAATTTTAGTTGTTTGTGAATAATAAAACCTTGTTTTTAATTTAAAAATAAATTTATTTTAAAGGATATGCTGGACACAAAATGTGCATATATTCTGGATTGCACATCGGATATATTTCTGTGGGTAGGTAGAAAAGCAAATCGACTGGTGAAAATGGCAGGACAGGTAATTTCTTTTTCTTTTATTTTAATTTTTGTGTTTTAAATCGTTTTTATTTTGTATTCTTGAAACGTTTAATTATCTTATATAAATTCTATTGCTAAATTTATTCTATAATAAATTTTATACGGAATATTCTTTTCTGTGCTTTGAGTGAAAAATGAAAAGTTTTTACAGAGAAAAATAAAATATGAAATTTTGAAAGAATTTATATGTTTAAACATATTGAAATACTTTACATTGCCCTATTTTGATGCTACTGGTCCATTTTCAATACTGCTATTCTAGACTCTCTGGATAAAATTTCCCACTTTTTTATCAGAAGGCATCAAGCGATACATTAGTAGTAGTATAATTTAAAATCTTTAAAAAAATTGAAGAAAATGGTGGTAGAATTGCATGCAATGTTAGAAAGGCCAAATTATACAATAATTTCACGTGAAACAGAAGGCGAGGAGTCAACAATATTCAGGTCTTTTTTTAATTTTCAAATTGGTATATAGATTGTCTAATTAAAGTTTTTTACTTCAAAAACTTAATTTTAAAAACTGTTTTTTTTTTTTTAAAAAAAAAAACAGTAATGAGAGCTGTCTTACAGATCAAAATTCCAAGGCTGGGATGATATCATACCATTTGATTTTACGAGAACTGCGGATAGTGTTCAAAGAAGAGGAGCCGATTTAAAAGTAAGCTTTACTATTACTAATAGGGATGACTTTTGTTTTATTTGTTATTTGAACGTGCAATATTTAAAAGCCATATGAATTTTTTGTTTTTTTTTTAAGATAATTATGGAACGTGATAAGATAAAGACGGATTTGGCACCGCTATTCTTGCCACGACAATCAGCAATGAGTGAAGAAGAAGCTAATCAAATGATGGAAGAATGTAACGAAGATCTCGAACTTCTTGAACCTTTTGTTTTAGTATGTTATAACTTGACTCTTTGAAGTTATCCCAAATGTTTTTGTGATATCTGGAAATGTCTTGAAATGAAATGGGAATCAATTTTTATACTCCAACATTAATGAAATTAAAGTTTGTTCAGACAGGAGATTATATCATTAACACATGAAATTGTTTATTTTAGTCTCTTGTTTCAAAAAATCTTCATAACTTCATATTTGAAGAAATGATATTTTACAGGAAGGAAAGAAATTTGTTCGATTACCACAAGAGGAATTAGGCACTTTTTACACAATGGATTGTTATGTATTTCTATGTCGATACGAGGTGATACCGGAAGAAGATGAAACAGATTTGGATGAAGAAGAAATAGAATTGAGTGGTGAGAAAAATGATGCCGCTGGTGACGATACTGATACAATACAGATATTTAAACGAAAGGTTGGATCTATATTACTGGAATAAAATTCGAACCATAACATGTCAAAAGAGGCAGTTAAAGTAGTCATAAAGCAGGTTTCGAAAGTAATTTCCTTAAAGTTACCTCCATTCTTCCATTTTCCAGGCTTTCTGAAAATAAATGAGTAACTTACTGTATATGGAATAATATGGATTAAGACATTTTTGTAAGCTTATAAGATGTCTATTATAATAAAGATGTATTAATTTTATCTGTTATAACAAAATGTGTTAATCATAAGATGTATTAATTTTATTTAACTAAATGTTGAAAATGTAGCAATTATTCAGGAACCTGAGGAAGTACAAGAAGATTTCAAATGTGTAGTATACTTTTGGCAAGGTCGTGATGCAAATAATATGGGCTGGCTTCATTTTACATTTAGTTTGCAGGTTTGTTACTAAATTTTTAAATGATTGAAATTTTGTATCAATTGAAAATTTTTGTTTCAGAAGAACTCTGTCAATATTATTCTACTAGAAAAGTATTACTTTGTAAAATAGATTTTTTTTTTTTTCAGAAAAAATTTGAAGGTCTTTTTAAAGACAAACTTGAAGTTGTTCGTATGTATCAGCAACAAGAAAATCATAAATTCCTTTCGCATTTTCATAAAAAATTTGTTATTCGACGCGGTCGACGAGGTTTAACAATGAATCTCGGAGGTTATTGATTCTTTTTTTTTTTTTCATTACTTTTTTGCTTAAATATTCACATATGCGACAAATTATACAGAACGGTTTTAATGCATTCTAATGAGTGAATATGTTATAGAAAGCTGATGCTACCCTTGTTAAAGACAAACTCTACAAAATAATCAGTAATTTGTTGACTAGATTTTAATAAAGACTGAACGATCTAAAACTGAACTGAGCTTCATTTTCATTAAAATTTAATTTGGTATCCATGTATGAGTATCCATCGCTGTCTATTTTTACGGATAGCATTCATTACTGAAAACACTACTAAAACATTACCTCTGTTTAAAGTGGTTGATTAATATTTGTTGTTATAGGACATTGGCCGGAATTATTTTTAATGCGTGCTAATGGTTCTGCAGTATGTACGCGAACAATTCAAATCGACTGTCGAGCCAATCAACTCAATTCAGCTTTCTGTTTTATTCTTCGTGCTCCGTTCAAAATAGTTGATGAGAATGGATTGGAGGGTAAAGTGTTTGTTTGGTACGGCAGTAAGAGTAATCCAAATCATCATGATCTCTGTTTACAGGTTATTTTATCGTTTCCTATATTTGCTTATCTTTTAAATTCCTTTCATTCGCAATACAGATTCGAAACATGGCGAGAAATTGACTTTGTGCTTTAAACTGCATTATATGATAGCATATTATAGGTGTAATGATGTAAAATGCATTTTGAGTACCATTTTCATTTTGCAGGTAGCAAATGAGCTGATAAATCGAAACAGTGAATTTCCGGTTGAAATTGTGCGAGAAGGTGATGAGCCGGAGAAATTTTGGGAGTGCCTAGGGGGTAAAAAAAAATATGATACTAATGGTGATTTCTTAAATTTCACAAGGCTATTCCGTTGTACAAACGAGAAAGGATATTTTGTGGTCTCCGAGAAAACTGTTGACTTCTGTCAGGTAAATGTGTATTTGCATAAGTTATACAACTTGCAAAAAAGTGAGCGTCCATTCTGTAATTATATCCCGTTGAAGTATTACTACATGTGTGTTTTTTTCTGGATTGAATTTAGGTATTTGATGCCCAATCAAAAAAACATAAAAAAAATTATGGTGCTAATGATGGCATCTTAAATTTCACAAGTTTATTCCATTATACAAGTCTGTGCAGTAATTGCATACATCAGTTATACAAGCAGTAATTTCATGCATCAAATTTTTATTAAAAAAAGCATTTCATTTCAGGATGATTTGGATGATGATGATATCATGATTTTGGACAATGGAGATTTGGTTTTCTTATGGATGGGATATCATGCTAGCGAAGTAGAGCTTAAATTAGCATATAAAGCTGCTCAGGTATTATTTTTGCTTTTTCTATTTGCAAATGCATATCTTCTATCTATTTATTTATCTGCTTAAATATTTCAAATGTGGATACGAAGCATGGGAATAAAGACCGAAAATTATAGGTTTATGTTGCACATATGAAAATCAAAGAACCTGAAAGGCCGCGAAAGTTGGTGTTAAGCTTGAAGGGTCGAGAATCACGACGATTCACAAAATGCTTTCATGCCTGGGGAAAGCATAAAATTCCAGCTGGGGATGAAGTTTAACTTCCAGGACTTTGACTGTTGTGGTCAGATTATTTAAGTATTATAGTTGGTCTCAGTGAATAAATGGGTCTTTTTTTTCCCTCACTTACTCAGTCCAAGATTATCCTTTTTATTTGAATTCATGTGCTACACTAAGTGTGCAAATGCGTTAATGCGTTATGTATTTTCCTGAACATATATACGCATATTCCGGAGCATATGACAGGAAAATATTGCTTTAATTTCAAGGTCATTTCATCTTAGGTGGCATAAATATAGACTGTGTAAATGATAGTGATATGTTGATACGTATAGGATTTATTTATTGTTTTTTTGTTTTGTGTGTGTTTATTCTAAAGTGCCTTATAAATATTTTTTGCAATGATATGAGAACCATATCTGAAAAGAAAAGTTTATATCCATTAAAAAAAAAAAGAAAGAAAAACGAAACAATTATGAAACAGCAGCTAATTCCTGCATACATGTACAAAGGAAACAAAATGCATTGTTAGATAAATGTTTTTTTTTTTTTTCGTAGAATTTCTTTTCAAATAATTTGAAATTAAAAGATAAGGAATGAGTAAAATGATGCCATATTTTAGTGTTAATATATTTCAATAAGGATAAGATGTTTTTATCCTTCACGATGAAAACAAATATTTGGATAAGGTTCTTCTATATGTTTTCGATTAACTATAATTATTTATTTGTAGAATATTTATTTTTACGTTATTTGTAAAATTTCTACTCTTCTCCAAACATATTTATACTTTTCTAACGGTATTTTATTTTTTCTTCCTTTTTTCCACTACACTTCATATGAAAATGCAGAGTGTATTGCGATTGACATGACAAACTTCTGTTTTCTTGGTTTTTTTCTTTTTTTTTTTCTTTTTTATAATGTTTATTTCATTACAATATCGATTTATTCTGTTAATGCAGGTAACAATGAACAATTGATTACAAACAAATGAGATAAAAAAATTTTCAGTTGGAATCACCAAAGCAAATTATCATCTAACTTCATAAAACTGTCCAATCAATTTTCCCTGGGTACTGTTCTTCCATATCACAAAATAATGCTGCACATTCATCACGTTCATCAGTTCGTTTACAACTATCAAATAATTTGGCGGCAGTAACGAGAACAACTTTTTCAAGAAGTGGTGCGGAAGCACGACGAAACTCTCGACGTGCTGCAGCTAATGCATTGAGTTGTTGTGAAACTGTATCTGCAATAACGGTATAGCTTACAGCAGTACATTTTCTTCTATATTTTTCTTTCATTCTTTTTTGTTTTTTTATCTTTATAGTTAGCGAGAAACATTTTGAAGAATGGATAAATGAAATAGATACAAATGAAAAATAATGCGCAAAAACAGTAAAAATAATCTGAAGCAATAAAACTTTGCAAGCATCAATGAATGTTACTCTCATCGTAGATAAACACACAAACGGACATATGGCAAAGATAATCGACTGAAAATTAAAGAATGAGATTAGTTTCTCATGATAACTATGCTTTAACAATAATGATGAAAGCAAAGATTGAAAGATTTATTCTAATTCAATCAAGACGTCCATCCGAATTGCTCAGGAATCGTCAAGATTTATTGATTCATCAATAGTAGACAGCGAAAAAAAAAAGTCTTACTAAACTATAGTAATTTACCTGATGACGTGCCACTTTTTTGTGCATACACTGTGAAAGTAGTCATATGTAAAAATGCATTTTCCAAAGGCTGACATCGGATTTTAAGAGCCCATTCACAATTTTCAATTTTCGTTAATGCTTCATCAAATCGTCCCTCCATTACCTGATAAGAAAAATAAATTATAATCAAATTTCATATATACTTTGTTGTAATTCACCACCTAAATCTTACAATTCCTTGTTTTTTTTTTTTTTTTTTTTTTTTTTTGTTTTTTGTTTTCTCCGCTATCATCACAATTCAAGCACTTACTATGTATTATAAAAAAAAATAAAACAATATAAAATAAAGCTCCCGGACCTCTAAACTCATATCAACTAGATTTGAGAGTAACTAAAATATTGAAAAGCAAAATAAACCTATAAATGTATTACTGAAATGAACGACTTTGATCTTGAACTGAGAAAAAAAAAATTCAAACTTACATCTATGTAAGCAATCCGTCGCATGATAATTGCATGAAATGTATCTAGAGAATGCTTATGTGCAAGGTTTTTGCATTGTTCCAAAATTGATAGCGCTACATGCTCCAAATTATTTGAAGTATATAACATTGCTAATGTTATATCACACCTAAACAAAATAGTGTTTATCATCTGCTATTGATTAAAAAACAATCTTTAAATTATTAATTATTGAACTAAGTTTCTAATAAATGATTACCTTAGCTTTAGTCTTAAATCTTTTGAATTCTTCACTCTCTCAACATTTCTTCTCGCTATATTTATTGCTTCCTGAAGATCACCTTTGGAGTGAACCAAAATGGCTTTCCTGCAATATTTGAATTCAGCAAAATTCAATAATACCATGATAAAGAACAAAATTAAAATGCTTCCTAATAAACCAACTAAAAAATTTTTTTTTCTTTTTGGAATTTCACAGACTCGAACTTCAAACCTCAAATCGGCTTCTGGAGGAGCTAATTGTTCAATTATTAGAAGCCACTGATCAGCAGCAATCCAGTCACCAAAGAAGAAAGCTCGATCATATTCAATCAACGATTCACATAATTTCCAGTGAAAGGCACACTAAAATTACGAAAATGTTTTCGTAATGAATAAATTAATACCAATGTTTTAACCAACTTAGTTTGATCTGATCAGCAAATCCAACTGCAAGTTTACTTCTTTGAGTCAGTCTCTAACTTATCATACTATCTATTTTAAAACTGTTCATTTTATTTGCTCATTTGTAAAACCATTTATCTTTTTCCGTTTTATAATTGAAATAACCATTTCCAATTAAATATTTCCACCAAATCTAGATAGAAAAAAATACCTGCCAGTTGTTTTTCTCCGTAAATCGCACCTTCAACTTCTTCACCACTGTGCGTGCCTCATCAAACTGTCCGTTCAAAGCATGAGCATAAGCGATATTTACAGCAGCAATTACCTAAAGCACAAGCAAACTTGTTCTCATAATTCATAAAATCGAAAAAAAGTTGGAAGAAAGAAAGAAATTCAAATTCTTCATACACTTTTTTAATGAGTACGAAATAAAGTTTCAACAGCATTAACTGATAGACTGATTAATTAACAAGTTACTAATTTAATGCTAGAGTTTATATTCTTAAATGTAGCATAACAATCTTTATTTTTTTTTTTACTAATTTTTCTTTTCTGCTTAAATAATAGAATAAAGAAGTTTTGATGTGAATTGTAGATGATAAGAATTAAAAAAAGATTCAACATAAAATAATTAAGCAAATGGAAGATCTTACATGAGATTCAGTATCATATCGTTGACACCACTGATCACCTGGATTAAAATAGAGGATACGATTGCAATCGCTAATAGCTGAATCGACGAAACCATTTGCAAGTTTTATTGTTGCAGAAATTACACGGGCAGCTTCATTCACAAGACGTGATTGAGATTCTCGATCAACACCATAATCAGCACCAGCACATGCTTGTAATCCCTTTACCATACTGAAATTTTAGATTTCACATAAATCAAAACATTTTATGGAGTAAAAGAATAGTTTAAAACAATTCTACTACTTTAGAGCGCTCTGAAATGAATAAGAAGCAATTTTATTTGCTAACTCTCAATGATTGTTCTGTTTCAGAAATAAACAAAAAAAAAAGGTTAAGAATACTTAGAGAAGTGTCAAAATAATACACCACTACCTTTTTGGGTCATTAGCTGATTTTGCTAGACTAATGCAATTTTGTAATGTAGCACAATCATTGAGTTGCTTAATAAATGCTCGTGTATCAGCCTCTTCAGCTTTGATCTTATCATCTTCCTCTGTTGTTTCCTGTGTTTCACCATTATCAATCGACATTGATGCAAGAAGTGCAGCCGAAATAAAATGAGCTAGAAGTTAATTTCAAAGTTTTTTGATTTCAGTTTTATTCTTTCATGTTATCTCAAATTTGATAATTATCAAAAAAGAATGCTGCAAAATGTAAACATTACTTTTCGATTCATCAGTTGAATCATTCTCTCCAGATGGATTTAAATCTTCATCTGCATCGATTGCAGCTTGTTCAACTTCAGCTAACCGTAAACAAACTAAATCGTGACTGGTTTGCGCTTGATGTACTGCTTCGGAGAGAAAATGACGAGCATGATCCCTGTAAGATGTGTCTTTACTAACTTCTTTTTCAAATTCCACGGAATTGAATTTAATTTCGAACAGAAAAAAAAGTTAAATCTGAATCCATTAAATACGAAATGTATTAAATCCTCTTCAAAAGATCTATTAAATCAAACTTGCTAAAGAATCGTAGCTATAAATAGTAGAATATAATCACATATTCATTTTGCTATGGCTATGTACCACTAAATTATAAAGTTTAGTTTTTTAAATAACTAAAATAATATTTCCACTACTGATATATAAATAGGCAAATATTAAAAGCGAAGAAATCACAATACTCGAAATTTGTGCAAGCTTTCGAATAACGGACGCTAACATATGCTAAAACGCCGCATCAAAACTTTTAACCATAACTTACTTATATCCGAAAATTCGAGCAAGTCGTGCATGCAATAGAGGTGCATAACGTAACGGACGTTGATCGGTAGCCGTAATTGAACGGTTTATATTATTCGTTTCATTAATGCGTATAGCCGTCCAATCAAAGAACTGTTGCAATGCTTCACCAGCTTCAAATATATTATGAGATCGTATTGCATTCATCATATCAACTAAATGCTGAAAATGATAATTCTAACAGAATAAATTATTTAAGCATACAGGAAAAAACAAAAAAAGGGAAATAATTCTTAAAAAGATGTAAATATTAATAAGATTTTCAAAATTAATAATTATATTACAAATGTGTTATAATTCAAAACGTGCAAGCATATAATCATACTAACTGTGATAAATTTATATCAATGTAATAAATTACGTGTTTACAATTTCTATGATAAACTTATGTAAGACAGCTTCTATTATCATAATAGAATAAACAGTTACTGAAGTAGCCATTAGCAATATATTATTTAAAAAACTTAAACTCACAAAATTTTTTAATAATTTTAAATCGCAACAAAATAAAAAGAAAGAAGCATAACTACTAACAACAAGCGGTAAATCAGGATAATGCTTCTTGATGAAATCACATGCAGCCCTGAGCTGTTTTTCTTCCATTGCATCATCTGGTGAAACATGCAATGCATGCAACTGTCGACTGATAAGAGCTCGAGCTCTACTTGAAGAAAGTAGCTCAGTTAATTGTGGTTGTGCACCAGGATGTTGCTGTAATTCATAGAGTGTTGTAGATGGTAGTGATGTATTAACATTGAAAAGACTCCTCCTACAGTGCTTTTCTTCATCGTCAATTTTGACTGTTTTTTTCTTTCTATTCGCTGGTGATATTGATGCTTTCAAAAATTCTTCACTCATTCTTGTAGCTCTGAAAATGACAAGTAAAAATATTCGAAATTTTATTTTGTTATTTTGTAAAAGCAAATTTTACATCATTAATATCTCAAATTAACTAATACATGCACAGCTTACTCGTTGAAATAACTAATGTTCAAGCTATTAGCAGTTATAATCAAATTATTCCATTCATTCTACTGAATAACTTATCAACAGTAAATGATAAAAAAATAAATTTACTTGTCTTTAATTGGTGTAACTCTCAAATGCGTTATATCATCTATAAGAGGAGCCAAATGCGTATCACCTAAACATTTAATTCACGTATATTTTTTAAGATGCTAAAAATATGATATTATGAGTAAAAGGAATTTGTTGTTTGTTTGTTTAATTTAAGAATATCGCAAGAGCAACGAAATTATCAAAATGGCACCAAATGAATACTGGAATAAGTTATATAATGCAAATAAAAATTCAAAAGTGTCAATTTGTAAAATTAAATAAAATCGATATCATATTTTCACAGTAAATATGAGGAAATACCTGATACAGATGACGCAGAAGCGGTCAATTTAGATATGTTCTTAGCATAACCACCAAAAAGATCACTACGAGCAGCGGGACGAGAATCATTCAACCATTCCAACCACTGCTTATGTGATCGCTGAATTTGCGTGACACTTTGACAAGCTTGTGTGACTGCCAACTTAAATTAAATTTATAGTATTTATATAAATTTAACATTATAATAATATGTCGCTTCATATTTTTTTTTTAAAAAAAAGTTTCATTTTTATATTAAACTGATGCATCAGAGATGTTATTTTTTTAATCAAAATCAAATATAATTTTGACCATGAAAATTCGTAAAGAATTGAAATGTGAAGAAATAAAGCCCGTAAAGAGTTAGTGAAGTAACAAGATGACCAGACAAATTACCTTGCGAACAAAAATGCCAATAAGACTTTTAGTCAAAGCGAATGGCTGTCCCAAACGATCCAGTTTCCGAGGTTGATAAAACAATTCATCACGACGGATAAGTATTTCCACATTCCCACGATGACTATCTATTCTGCAAAAATATTCATCCATTTGAAGTCAAAAGTTTAAAATAATGCAGAAATTTAAACTAATCGAATGTGGTTACCAATTTCCCCTAATCTCTTTTTTTTTTTTTAAAAAAAAAGTTTCATTTTTATATTAAACTGATGCATCAGAGATGTTATTTTTTTAACCATATAATTGAAGTGGAATAAGTCTTAAATATATTTTTAACTCTTAAAGTAACCATTTAATTATGAAGAAAAGCAAACGTACTTTGCCATAAATTCCAAAAATAAATTTAATGAAACTTCTTGCAATGGTGCCATTATCATATCAATTGTTTCCGGAAAGCTTAAATTAACTGCATTTAAAAGCTCATATACCAATGATGATAACTGATAGTGCTCCTTGTGTGTAAATGGCTTTAATCGATGATTTGTATCCAAAACTCGTATAAGAAGATATATGGCAAGCTGAAATACGCAGAAAATTTCTTTAGTAAATATTATAATAGAAATTTTACTATTTTTTTTTTCTTTTGGCATCATCCAAATGTGAATCATTCTTATGGCAAGATTGGCAAGATTTGATTTATTCATACGAAAATTAAAAAGTAGAAAACAAACCCGAAATGGTGTAACCGGTTCACCAGGTGAATTATCGAAAACGAAACTGAATGCCTCATCTAAGCTGAAGCTAGAATGAACCAAATCCTCTGCCATGCCAGTTTATTCTCTCTATAATTTAAAAATTAAACATATTTCGATGGATGTTTCATATAATTTTATATGTATGTATTATATATGAATTTTGACTTATACCCAAACTAATAAGAATTAATTTGAAAAGTTGATTTGCTAAATAACATAAAATTGCTTTATCAAATAACCAAATAAAATAGAAAATCTGAAGAAGAAATGCTTATGAAAGTGTTTTAGGTCTAGAATATTTTAATCTGTAGTATTGTTTCTGTACCAATTCAAATATGTATAGAAGGAAATAATAAAAGCAAAAAGATGATAAATTTAAGCAGGAAATGCTTTTTACCCATATTTTTAGGCAATCAATTTTACGGATGCAAACCATAATGCTAGAATTCAAAATTGAAACGTTCGAATTTCTTATAACTTTGCATATCAATGCGATCACTGTTACATTTATATATTTCATTTATTTGATAGTGTTTTCGTCTTCTTTTATCATACAACAAATTCAAATATTCACAACAATAATAATAAAAATAGTACTAATAACAACAATAATAACAATAATAAGTAGCACTAAACAGCAAATGAGACAGAGAATCCCGAAAAATACTTCAACAGATGTTGAAAATGCAATTGATTAAATATAATCAGTTCCAAACATTAAAAACATGAAAGGAAAAAAGAAATTTTAATTTGAAAATTTGCGGAAAGAAAAAAAAACTCCACCTTGAAGCAGTTGCTTAAATTATCAGAAGAAATATCACATTTTGACTTTATCGAAAATTTCGAATTAAATGACTCTCATTAACATTTTTCTCTTCCTTCATCGAAGAAGTAATACTTTTCGAACAATATAATTTAATAAAGAAATAATTAATTAACAAATTATTAACTACTAAAATATAGTAATCTAATTGCATCAGACTATACTGTGTGCTAATCTCGCCGATATTCTCAAACAAGGTGTGTGATGAGAATAACGGTTGAACTAAACTTAGATTACAGTACGAAATAATGACAGCGAATAAAATATAGAAATGCTATTCTTAATGAAATATATTAATGCAAATAATGGCAAGAACAATGTTTATAATAGGCACTTTAGTGATATTAACGGGAAAATAATACAAAAGAAAGTGAAATATGAAGAAAAATTTTCAAACTGAAGAAAAAGCTGAGGAAAAAATTTCAAAACTTTAACAAACTACGAAAATTTAAAGGGTATGTAAATAAGAAAATGAGCAAATTAGAACAAAAATAAAAATAAAAATGTATATTATAGCGTAACATTCGAAATCATCTCCAATAATCAAGTTCCAAATTTCCAATTGATTTCCATTCATGCAAACTACTATTCAGAAGAGATGAACGTGCATTTGTGATCAAAGTAATAGCTTATCAGATTCAAACAAATTCAAATGAAAACGAACAGTTAGGAAGACGCAAGCGTACCATAACTATGTTCAGTATCTAATTACATCAGTGTATAAAGAACATCCAAAAACATTACAATAAAAACCTGAACAAATTAACAAAGTCAAATAGTTGCCCATCACACATCAAAAAAAAAAACAAGACAAAACAAAAGGTGAAAGGTCCTCACCATATAATTTGGAAAAAGACATCCAAAATTGAAATATAAAAAAACAAGCAAACAATTCAGCAAAATAAACAGTACCAAAACTTTCGTTGCCGATATTCTTTAATTTCAAAATATTTCTGATTGTCGCAAAAGTTCAAACATATCAAGGAAGAGCCATTGTTGAAAGTGAACAAGTAAAGAACGATACTTCATTCGATAGTTGAATTCGAAACGCTACATTATCCGGCATTTATTCTTCACTTTCTTATTCTTTTTGCTTCCACCATAAGAAACTGTACCGTGATTCTAAGAGAAAATATCATATTCAATCAGATAGCAATCAGATCTCATTTAAATATTTCGAAATTCAATATTTTATGTCTACAGAATACTTGCTCAGACATTAGCAATAAATAATTACATAAGAGACTCAATTATGCAGCATCAGCTGCAGTGAGATAATAGTTCAAATAAGAAAAATATTGTAAGAGACACATTCCCTTTCGCTTATCAGGATTAAATGAAAGTACTTTTCATTCATAATAGTATGAATAGTACAACCAATTGAGTTTCGTAGATATGCAAAGGGATAAGGCTCCACGCAGCCAATCATAATCTACTTGTATTAAATTTGAATTAACTCAAAAATAGATATCATGTAATAAATAGTTTGAAAAGATGAATTTCTTTTTTAAAAAAATGGTGCAAAAAATGGCAAACTATAGTGCATTCCAAAACAAGACATTTTTTTTGTATAAGAATGTTTTTTGTAAAAAAAATAAGAACGAATATGCGGAAAGGACTTACTGTATCGTTATCCTCATCACTTGGAAAACTTTTTACAATCCGAACTAATTCATGGAATGCCGCATCCACATTAACTGGTGGATCTTTGGCTGAAGTTTCAATATATGGAACTTTAAGCCGATCGGCTAGTTCCCGCCCTTGTTGTTCCGTTACTTTTCGCTGACTTACTAAATCAATCTAGAAATTATTGTTATTAATGTTCAATTTAGCAAAATTTCATTGGAGCAACCTTCATTTATAATACTAGCAATACAGAATATTTTATTTGGTAATATAGACCAAGAAGCTATAGTGCTTCCTCAAAACTACGAATACTGATTAATGAATATGCAAGTATATAATGGATTGTTTTTGTCGACTCAAACAAAACTTCCTGAACAGATTATGATGCTCAGTTCAAGGGAAGGAAACAGGAAAAGAACGAGGATGATAGGACATAAGCAAGATTAAACATGAGAATAAAATTACATATAAAAAGATTTAAATAAGACTATCAATCATAACAGAATAATCAGAAGATGACCAGATGTTGGCTGCTAAAACAGTAATTAATGAGAAAAACTTCATTAAAGATTACCTTATTTGCCACTAACAATACAGGATATTCTGTTTTATCCTTAACTCGTAATACTTGATCAAAAAGCTTCGGTGCTTCTTCAAAACTACGAACATCGGTTACTGAATAAACCAAAAGAAATCCTCGGCCGTTACGCATATACTGTTCACGCATAGCAGAAAATTCCTCTTGTCCGGCAGTATCCAACACTAAAAATTCATTACTAATCCAATATTAATATAATGGAGACATAAAAAAATGGAACTATCGATGAACTCAGTATATAAATTTCACAAGCTTCAAACCAGGTATCATCTAACCAGTAGACTAATGAATGATTTGCAAATTGGCTTTGTAAATCATTTCTAACTGGATAAGTTTAAGTAGCCATAATTGACATACAAAGTCGTCCTACCAAAAAAAAAAGACACCATACAGTGAATGATCAGAAATTTTTCATTGGAAAAACTTTTATAATTATCAAAATACATATAACCTATCACTTCCTCTACTTATTCCTTTTAAATCAGCTTTTCTACCTAAACTTATCCAATTAGATGAAAAATTGGTCTAGGTTTCCAACATGATTAAGCACAGTATAAAAATCTTAATAATCTAATTCAAGAGACAATACATAATTCTACTATATATATTTCCAAACTATCCAAACCAATCAAAATTTATCGAATATGCATTTTATATTTCGCTCCTATTAGAATAAACATTCAAAGCGCTATAAGCATAATGAAAGCATTTATTTTCGATAAACGTAAAAATCTAAACGATTCGGTTTTAGGTTAAAAAAAATGCCACAGAAAGTTAATTAAATATATACTCACCATCCATGATAACCCACTGGCCATCAACTTCGGCATGAATAATATATTGATCCTCTATTGTTGGATCATAATAATCAACGAAATGTTTCTAGAAATTAAACTTATATTCATACATTATTTGTTATACTTACTGTATTACTCGCCTAATGATAGCACTGGTGTTTGTGCAGATTATCTTTCAATCCAATGATTCATGATGATATTACAATTACTATTATGAAAGTAAGGAAAAAATCAATATGAAGACGAAAATTGTAAAACAAAAAACCTGGAAGAATTGTATCGTTAAGGAAGACTTGCCTACACCACCTTCACCGATAACTACTAATTTATATGTCGGTAATTTCGAGTCATCATCTGGTGGCCTTTTCGAAGTCGCCATCTTTTAGAAATGCTGTCCTAAAAATTCAAACTATTAGATTTGAAATGAGTAGTGCTTTTCAAATTGAGACGACACTAATGATCCATTGAATGCTTTTGTACTTTTACAACTTACAAACAAAAGTCAGCTATAAAGTTATTCGTGAAAAAACAAAAAAGAAGCAAAAACAAAAACTAAAAAAATAGCATAATTTGCAGTTTAAAGAAATTATAGTCACATAAATTTTATAGAAGCAATAGCATGTAATGCACAACAATAATTTCAACTGTTGTTAAGCATAACAATAAAATGTTATCAAAGGAGATGGTAATAAAACACTTACTTCAATATTATAACAATCTTACCCTATTTTTGCTCATTTTCACATAATATTTTGTATCAATTCTATTTACAACAACTTCTGATTAAATTCATACATTAAGTTTGAATTGGAAGTTTTAATTTAATATTCTGGCAATTTTCTACAAATAAGAAAAAAAAAGATGAAAGATCGATCCATCATTACATTCTGCACAATTTTATCATATCTGTTTACTCCATTTATAATAAATAATAAAATTTGAATTACTGGAAAACAAAAAAAAAAACTCATCCAAACAAATAGAATGGAAGAAGCATTATTTCACGCGGCCATAATACGTACAGTTTACAGTTCATTGGATTATATGTGAATAAAAAGATTTATTTGATAGGTATGATAGTATTTTAAAAATGAATATTCTTTTAAACTAAAATTCAACGTATTTTCTCATCGTTTTTTCTTTTATCGTTTTACATGAGCAAAAATGAAGTAATAAGAATAAATGCAAAATAAAATAAACTACATTAAATTAACAAGTTTGAAAAAAA